TGCAGTGTTTCAACATCAGTAGTGCAGTGTTTCAACATCAGTAGTGCAGTGTTTCAACATCAGTGATGCAGTGTTTCAACATCAGTGGTGAAGTGTTTCAATATCGAAGTCGAGACTGCAGAACTTCTAAGCCAAGTTTTCAACAGAATAAATTACATCACCAAATTATACCTATTTGCTGTAGTGGATCTTTGTACGTTTTTTCTTCGTTTGAGCGTCGAATGTTAATTTTTTACGTTTTTTCTTTGTTTGATGCTCAAATGTTAGTTTTTTTGTAGGTTTTTTTCTTTGTTTGATGGACAAATGTTATTTTTTTGTGCGTATTTTCTTAGTTTTGTACAAAAATCTGGTGGAATTCATTAAATTTGTTAGTGGTAAATAATCCGCTTTTCTGGCCGGTGTCAAGCCGAACCCGAAGAAGAATAATAGCAGCAAGAACAATCAGATTTCCTACACCAGCCTAACCGCACGGTGCTCCCGCTTCACCTGTGTTTGCCTAGCAGTTTTTTTGGAAGGCATACCTGCAGCATCTTACCTCGGCCGCGGTCCTGCTCTCCTCTTGATCTGNATTTTCTCTGGCATAATAATAATAAATAATGAGCTCAATAATTTTCTCCGGCATAATAATAATAATAAATAATGAGCTCAATAATTTTCTTTGGCATAATAATAATAAATAATGAGCTCAATAATTTTCTCTGGCATAATAATAATAATAAATAATGAGCTCAATAATTTTCTCTGGCATAATAATAATAAATAATGAGCTCAATAATTTTCTCTGGCATAATAATAATAATAAATAATGAGCTCAATAATTTTCTCTGGCATAATAATAATAAATAATGAGCTCAATAATTTTTTAGGGTAATGTTAATGATGTGCGTTTAAGAATTATTTTTTTAAGACAACACTTCTAAAGATTAGTTTTTAAAATGTAATCTCTAATTTTTTATTAAAAAAATAAATTTCCAAACTTATTTATTCTGTCAATTGATTCATGTATTGTCTCCGACTTTACGCAAGTGTGTAAAATTTCTAATTTATTGGTGAGGTAGAAGTGTGTTAAATATCGACTATAAGATTTGTAGCAGACAAACAAAGAAACAAGAAATGAAGTTAAAGAGACGTGTTGTAAAATGTAGTAAGAATGGATAAGAAAATGTCACTAGGTAGATATGCTAGTCAACCCTTATCACGGTAATGCATCAGTTTCTTATAAAGGAATAAACAACTAATGCTAGTCCACGTTGATACCTTCATACTTTATTAAAAGTTTCAACCTCAGGCAGCTCCTATTTTACAACACTTCTCTTCAATTTCACTTCTTGTTTGTATGCTACAAATCTTATAATCGATATTTAACACATTTCTTCCTGTCCAATCGATTTGAAATTTTGCATACTTGCGTGAAGTCGGAGATAATGCATGTATCAATTGACAGAATAAATAATTTCAAAAATTAAAAATATGTATATATTAAAAAATGGTACAAAATAATTTTTTTATATATATATAAATAAAAATAAAATAAAATTCATTATATATTAGTAATAACGGAGACACTGGCCTCTTTAGAAATGTTGTCTCTTGAAAATAATTTTTAAACGCATATTAAACCTTTGCCATTAGTTTTCAACATAAATATATGTATTTAAAATTGCATTCCTTCTCGTTTTGTATTATTCATTAAATTTCTTGTGTTTCAGTGATTTATCTAGCGCCCCCTTGACCGGTCTCGGCACCGGCAGCATTAATAAAACTCCAAGGCAGAGGAAGCGACCTCCTTTGACGTCAAAAACAGTAAGTTAAACTATAATTATGTTCATTTTATGCGTGATTTTTGTGTGTCATACCACTGAAATAGAATGAAATGAGCAGTCCGTATATGTTCATTTTATGCGTGATTTTTGTGTGTCATACCACTAAAATAGAATGAAATGAGCAGTCCGTATATGTTCATTTTATGCGTGATTTTTGTGTGTGTCATACCACTAATATACAATAAAATGATCAGTATATGTTATGGACGAATATAATTGAGATTCACTATGCCAATATCTTTATATTTTCTTTACTTATATATTCGAATTATTTTCACGATATGAAGTTAAAAAACTCAGATATCTTTTAATGCATAACAAATCAGCATAATTTCATAAATTTCTTAATACATGCTAATAAATGAACTGAATTGGATGCTATAAACTGCACTAATTTTTTAATAAATTCTAACAAATAAACTGAATTGGACGCTATAAACTTCAGTAACTTTTTAATACATTCTAAAAAATAAACTGAATTGTATGTTATATATATATATATATGTATATATATAAACTGAATAATCATACTGAATATAACTGTATGAATATAAGTGTATAAACTGAATACGTTCTAATAAATCAGCTGAATTATACGCTATAAACCCGTGAGGTAATGAAGTCCTCCGGCAGCGCGCAGTTGTGGATATTATATTATTATATTATGAAGCTATATTATATTATGTCATTAAGCTATATTATATCATATTATTAAGCTATATTATATCATATTATTAAGCTATATTATATCATATTATGAAGCTATATAATATTAAATTACACGCTATAACTCATGAGATAATGAAGTGCCCCGGCAGCGCGCTGTGGTGGCCGCGACACCGGCGCCGCTGAGCGAGCGCGAGGAGCTGCAGCGCCGGCAGCAGAGGCTCGGCCAGGCCGGCGACGCCAACAACAAAATTAACAAGAAGAAAAAACTTCACATTTGAAGAACATGATCCATGACTTGAATGATACAGTTTATTTCTGCTTTTGTACTATCTCCAATATTAAAGAAGAAAAAGCTTCACATTTGAAGAACTTAAGATTTAAACCTACTGATGTGTCGTGGCGATCCATGACTTGAATGATACAGTTTATCTCTGCATTTGAACTATCTTGGGTGTTAAAGAAGAAAAAGCTTCACATATGAAGAACAGGAGACATGACTTGAATGATACAGTTTATTTCTGCGTTTGGGTATTTTTATCTCGGGTATTTTTAAAATATAGTTCGTTAAATTAACTGCACCAATCATCTGATACTGCTACACACATAATGGCTGCAGAAATTCTGGTTCATCGACACCACCATTTCTTATGTGAACAAAAAAATCTTTTCATTAACTTCGTCCCTCTTCCTAATTCAACCCTGAACAAAATCAGGTTCTCCTAAATATTTTATAGAGGCCGTCATACACACAAGACTCTTTTACCTGTTCGTAACAAGCCTGAGAATTCGTAACATTACAGCGGCTCATCTACGGGAGTTGGGAGAAACAAATTACACGTCACTTGACATCAACATCAAGATCTCTGTTTCATACGAACACAACTGAACAAATTACACATCACTTGACATCATTCATACGGACACAACGATTTACGGCGCGTGTATCAATTGATGTCTAGTTTAGCTGTAGGATGTTTACTTGACGAGATAGAACACCAAATTTGCTCACGTCATACATCACCCTGAAGAATTTTAGTTTAGTTAGTTAGAAAATGCAATGGAATCGAGTATCAAATTTTTTTAAGAATGTACACCCGATGTCTGTAATAACGCTGACCAAATATCGCTTCTAATTGTTTCTAATCCTCAACTCTAACTCTTTACGCAAACATCGTATGAACGCAAGGTTTTTATCATTTTAGGTTTCTTTCTTTCCCTTTAAAATGTGCCTGCCGGTTAATTGGAACATACATCAAAATTCCAATCACTTTTCCCGTTTTAAGTGGCAATTCAAAAACAGCCGAAATGATGTGTGCCTCGACACATTTAGGTGTCTCCACCCCACAGCCTGGAACAGTCTGCTGGCTTCTGTAACTTCGGCTCCTTCGTTGCCGGTGTTTCAATGACGCCTAAAGACGGAACTATTTCGTAGAGCCTATTAATTAAGTACTTAGTCATTTTATCCGTTCCTATCCTTTCATGTGTCTATTTATTTTTCGCTTGTAATTAATCTTATGTGTGACGTGCCCTCGAAGTTCATTTGAACCAGACGCCACGATAAATGCTTCGTAGAATAATAATAAACCTGTTCGGACTTATCAGGTCGACCAAGAGTTGAGAAATCTTTTTCTTGCATTCACGCACTATCACAGAGAACAGTATATTACTTTAGATCACTTGGCACTTCTACTTTTGCGGAAGTGTACTTGATGTAAAAGCAAGTGTCAACGTAGCTATTGTCACGGCTGCTGGTTGTATGTGTATAGCTCGCTGATGAAGCAAAGAATATACAAGGCGGATTAGAACTAACGGCTTTGAGCCAGTTGTTTTTGTTCAGCATGAATGGTCTAAAATTACAGGGATGTAAAATGACAGTATGATTTGAAATTTTATGTACGAACTTGTCTATGTACAGCATAACATAGATGAGGTAAGTTCATCATTATAATTAGTTGACATTCAATACAGTAACTGCGATGGAAATATTCAACCATGCCGTGCGGCACCGAGATTCGGTTTATAGGCATAAATGACTTGAAAATTCTAAAAACGATGACAGAAAATTCTATGAAATATGAATCGATTCATTCAAATAAACGGTGCAAATAGATAATTACTTTTTATGATGATGAAATACACGAAGCTTTCCAATAATGTTTTGTTCCGAATGTTACCAAAATCCAAAAACGAGGTGAGAATCATGCTATGTGATGACTATCCAATACACTAGCAAATTAACGGCACATTACACAGCAAATGAACAACAATACTGCAAATAACATCAACATTAAAAGGAGTCACTACCTAAATTAAATATGAACAAGGGTTCCTTGAGCGAACATAAACATTGTCTCAAAATGCCGAGTTTTTCATAGTAGTCTTTAAAAACTCTCAAATGAACTTACACCTAATTTCGAAACTAAGCCTTTTATGAAAAATATATACTAATAACGATTGTGTTCCTTCCACCGATAAAAATCTACACTTTTTAGCCTAAATCATATTACAAAAATTGTAATCAACGCGGATGTTCAAAGTTATTTCACTTATAGCAATAATCTTAATTTTAAAATTCAACAACGACCAAATCATTACAAAGATAATGTTCAAATGTTAATTAATCCTCTAACGCTTTAGACTAAGCAGTGTTTCTAACTGCCAAATTAAATCTATGTAGGAATGGAAGTCCATTAATAACTATCATGGATAGAAATTGTTTTCATTTTAAGCCTTGGCTGCAAGTTAAGCCACAGCTTGCACATCAAAACGATCTCCTAAATGCGCTTTTAATCTTCTCGTGGGCCAGTCGATATTTTCTTCGGAAACTAAAATTTTAGGCCACACGTAGCACACGTGTTCCAAGAAATGGGGTGAACATACAGTTTATGTACGGTGAAAATATGCCTAGAGTTAAAAAATGCATAACACTTCAATATAACATTGTTCATTTAGGTGCATCTTCAAGATCTAAACGGACCCTTTCTCCCATGCAAACCCTGGTATTTTCGATCTGAAGAATACACATGGAAAATGTTTAATTGTTTAGACCCAATAATTACGTGTAAGAGCAGGACAACACAGCCTACATAAATGCGTTTAAAAACGTTCAGATTTAAACAAAGGGTGGAAAGTCAAATAAATAACTGCTTAAACAGAAAAGATTTCTTGAGCGCCATGCAGGCAAAGTCGTTCATACCTTATCATACGACAACAATGTAACACGACGTAACTTCTTAACAATGTAACACGACGTAAAACTATTCCCTGAAGAACAAGTGACCAACAGCCACAAGCTGTAACAATAATAAAGTTACCCACAGTCGCAAGCACGAACTTCGGAAGCTCTCGACTATGATAATGTTCCAGAATCTTGGCCTATTTCCTTTTAATTTTTTTAGTTTTATGACAAAAGAAATGTATAATGTTTAATTTAGCCCAAGAAATTGTTCAAAAATGAAACTCGAAACACTTAATGCATGTGACTTTCGATCAGGAAAAATCACTCAAATTCGTTGTTAAGCAAATAGAAAGAATCATTTCGATACATCTGTGTTACGTAGCTGTTTTTAAATATATACAAGACATTTATATAAATGGGATGAGCAAGCTTTCATGTTACACAATATAAACAAGTTTCGATGTCTTTATAATAAGATGCTCGCACAGAAAGCTAATACTAAACATGCATTTCAGTTGGAAATATTTAACATTTTTGTCTCGTTTTCGGTAAGATTTTACGATTGGCAGCAGCTAATGCAATTCATTTTTTTATCTCATGTTATTGGAATTTCTTCAAATGTGATCATTCGCAAACACATGAAAAAAACGGAACACAATCTCTGTTAATGAATTTTTGTTCATTAAAAACATTTTGTTTCGTGCTCAACTGTAAATATTCGTACAGAAGAAACTTATGGCAAAATAACCCGTTATAGACGCACATTCTCGTAATTTGTGGCGAAATGCTTACTGCAAGGTCAGGGAATAAATTTAAGATACTGAATTTAAAATAATAATATTAAATTTGATGACTTATCTTGGGTGCTTTTAGCACGGCGATGCCTCTAATAGTTGAAATTGTGTGAAATTTATAATTCAAGTTTTAAAATCTATTTTTTTAACGATAATTATATGACACAGAAGTAAACTTTTGGCCTCTAAATTTTAAAGCCTCTGGAAAAAATACGATAAACTAGTCGCTGAATTTAAAAATGCATACAATGCACAATGTACATTAGATAATAAGAATATCGAATTTTAATAAAAATGTGAAAAATATGTGTTACTTAATAACCTTAAAATACCGATAGATAGAAGTCGTGCCGGCAGCATAGCGAGTAATTTTTGGTGATTATGACCAAACTGTAACAGTCAATCTTCTGTAAAGTTTTCTATGTGCCAAGCATCATTTCCAGTCCAAGAAAATTAATTACTCTCCAAAAATGTCCACGCTAGGATCAGTACAGAATTAATAAGAGGCATGGGGTGCAGGAGGGACTTCGTTAGTTTGAGGTCTCACACGATTGGTCAGATAATTGTTGATTTTTGCAGATTAGAAGAAGGAAGAATAAGCAGATTTTTGTAAGCTGAACCTGCAATACAGAAGCGATCTGGAAATGACTTCCCCAACAAGCGAAATCTTACTCTTCAAAATTTGGCACATAGTTGTCAAGGCATGGTCATGAACGATTGTTCACATGAACATTAATTTAAAATGTTACGCAAGAGACATCCTTAAATGTCGAAATCTACAAGCTATGACAATAACAAATAACAATAATAACATTATTACTATACTAAATGTGGAAGTGATGTAAACGCTTGAACACGTCGTAGCGCTTGTCAACAACCAAAGAACAAACTCAAAGGCCCAAAGTTGCATTGTACTAAGTTTCAGCAGAGAGTTTGAATACTTACTTAGATCTTTCATGAGACACAAAGTATATATTGTTTGTGAACCACTCAAAAATTATTTTCGATTCGTAAACAAATGTTCTATTACTTGACCAGTTCTGAAGAGTTTAATATTTTGTATCGGCAAGCTTATTTTTATCAACAGGCGGGATATAACTAAGATAACTGGGCTTCATTCCTACTAAATTCAACAATATTTCCTAATCAATAATTACATACATGTATTAGGCATAGCTGAGCGGTGTAATTCAAAGAATTTAGCTAATATTTCGCTAAAAAAAATATATTTTTTTCAAATTTCTTACGGTCCAGAAATTCACCCATGCACGGGAATTTCCCGATACTCGCACGAAAAATCAGATTTGAATCATACGAATCCGAATCTGAAATTTTAGTTTGTAGGACAAAAACGACAGCAATAAAAGAAATAATGGATTAAAATTTGATTGATTGAGTGCGGCAGTCGCCATGGTGACATCGCCACGGTTGGCTGATGGAAATATATTGCATTTACTTGTTGCTTGATCTGAGTTAGCGAATTAGCTCCATAGCCGAGTTTGTAGTTAAGATGTTATTATTAAGATGTTATTAGTTTGTATGTAAGATGTTATTTTAGAGCTCTTGGCTACGTAGCAACCAAACACTCATCATAGATAGCAAGTTTTGAGAGTGACTGTCCAAGAATATTACAGGAGACGAGTTCGATTTAATATTCTAATATTTTTACTGTATACGTTCTTAGTCGTGGCAATTGTAAGGGTGAATTTCTGCAACAATGTGCCGCCTCCAAAGAAAAATTCCTCTTTTCTGAACTTTTCAAAAGATGCAATGAATTAGAAAGCATATTTTCAATAAATTTTCAAGAGCGGTTGGTTGTAATCTTCCGTTCTTTAGCTGCATTATATAGTTTTCATAAAAATATTGGTAGGATGTTTCCACTCAGAGTTAGCATTCAACTGTGGGCATTTTAAGCATTTATTCTGCAATCTGAGCAG